CCTTCCCCCACCCCTCCCCCTACGGCGCCCCCTGACCTACCGATCCTGAGGTAGCCCATCTGCGGGAGCTTGCAAGAGGCCTTGCCACGGGCCACCTCCACTGAGTGCTCGATGAACAGCAACACACTCATGATCTGGCGGCAGAACAGAGCATCAGTCAGCCGTGGCCTGCACAGCTCCACCAGCCCCTCCCACCCCGATGGTGTCCATCAGGCGCCTGTGAGGGGGCATCCTGGGGAAAATGGAATGCCAGTTCAGTGGAGCATCCTGGGTGAGTGTGGCCTGTACAGATAGACAGCACAAGCTCATAACCCCGGTTCTTCCTCTTCCCAGCTATGTGAGCTTGGGCAAGTTACTTGACCTCTCTGTGCCTCAGTTTCCCCCTCTGTAAAGTGAGGATAATATAGTAGCTACTTTAGGAGGTTATTATGAGGACTAAATAAGAACATCCCAGGAGGGCATTAGAACCACGCTGGGGTCTCAGTAAATTGGTAACTGACCACTGAGACCAGGCTTGGGGGTGGGGAGCTGAGACTGGGCCCCTCCTCTGCACCCCCTTTTATGAAGACAGGCTCTGGGCATCATGGGATCTTAGTCACAGCATGTGAGCATCATAGAGCTTCAAGTTCTTAGAATCATCAGCGCAGGCCTGGGAGCATCTGACCCATGAACCCCCAGGGTACCCTGTCAACCCCATCTCCCATCCCCCTCAATTTCCGCATCTGCAAAATGAGGATAATAATAACACCTGTCTCATAGGGTTGTAGTGGGGCCAGATGGGATATAATCTTAAAGTACCTGGCAGATAGTAAGCACTCAATCCATGCTCACTATTATTATTACTACTATCCCCACTGGACTGTAGGGTCCAAGCAGGGAAGGCCAGTGCCTCTCTTGTTAACTTCTCGAGCTGTTGTATTTGATGGATGGATGGATGGATGGATGGATGGATGGATGGATGGATGGATGGATGGATGGGTGGATGGACGGATGGACGGGTGGACGGGTGGACGGGTGGGCGGATGGGTGGGTGGATGGATGGATGGATGATGGACGTATAGATGGATAGAAGGATGGGTGGATGGGTTGATGGATGGATGATGGATGATGGATGGACGGATAGATGGACGAACAAACCCCATCCCCTCAGGGGACCCTTGCTAAGAATGATGGAGAAGGGGCAATCTGACGGGCCTGAGTGTTGGGGTGGCCCTGGCAACAGCTGAAATCCAGCCACAAAACTGCAGTTTGAAAGGACCTTGGAGGTCCCCTTGCCCATGCCCTCTACCTTCCAATGCAGGAATCCTGGGCCATGCAGCCTCTATCTACGTGCACCCAGCCATGGGGAACTCACAGTCTTCTGTGTGTCCATGTCCTGTAGCAGGCCTTCTGCCCTTCCCCCACCACACACACACAATACTCCAGGCACCATTCACCCACACTGAGAACAGCAAGACTATCTCCTTCCTCGTAGTAGATGCCCTACCTCTATTAAGATGCTCTAAGTTTACATTGGCTTTCTAGGCAGCCCTGCGCTGGTAACTCATGCTCAGCTGACAGGCAACCAGACATCCACCATCTGTTTCCCCCTTGCTGACTGTGTGGGTTTTTTTAACTCAGAGGCAGGTCTCCATCTGTCTTCCTGCCGTGTTACATCCTGTGCAGGGGCCAGAAAGGCACAGCACAGAAGAGTGATGAAGAGCTGGGCTCCAGAGTCAGACAGAGATGGACTTGAGTCCAGGTCACTATGTGACCTTGGACAAGTCACTTCACCTCTCGGTTTCCTCCTCTGGAAAATGGCAATCCTTGGACTTCGTAAGGGATAAACTGCATTGTGTTTGCAAAGCACTGAGCTCGGGGCCTGGCAGTGGGCGCTCACAAACAAGGTGGGGCCGAGCGGGACTAGGAGTAGGTGCCAGGGGGCTGGCAGAGAGCTCGCTCTAGCTGCCCTACCCCCACCCCCCGGTGCAGGGTGAACCAAAAGGGCTTTATTTCACCAGGAAGGTTGAGAACAACTGAGAGCGGAAGGCAGATGTGGTGGGGCTGTGGCCAGAACCCACAGGAAACAGCCCTGAGACAGAAAAGCTGCTTCCTTGGGCCCTAAGGCCGAGCCCCAGCCCCTCTCCTCCCAGTTCCACCTCTAGTAAAGGAAAGAGAACAGGAGGCCAACCACGTTCAGTCCAGGACAGAGCAGGACACCCTGCAAGGTAGGGAGCTCCCCATCCCCGGGGGTGTGCGAGCAGAGCACAGATGTGTCGCAGCTGGGCTTATAAAGACACATGAGTATCTACCAGGGGTGGCGCAAGAAGACTCTTGAAGTTCTAAGAATCCAGAATTGTGTGAGATCTGGAACAAACCTCAGAAGCAGACAATCCCAACCTCCGATTGCTAGAAAGAGCCTCCGTCTACTTATTTTATAAGCTCCTTCTGCTTGGTTTATGAGCTCAGAGAGGTTATAGGTGGCTTACCCAAGGACACACAGTAAGTTGGGGACAGAGTAGAGACTGGAGTCCGAGTCTCCCAGTGCTGCCCTGGTGTCTTCCCATACACCCTGTCCCCCAAAACACCTCAGAGCCCCTGCGGGTCCCTACCCCAGAGGGCTCACAGGTCTTGGTCATGCACCAATGTCAGTAAAACCTTTTGAATACACTCTTCTATATTTCTTTGTTTATTAAATCATATGCATGTGCTACTGTCCTGGTTTATCATGAACATCATGAAACTTATACAGAAAAAAATCCAGAAATTAATAAAGAATATGATGGAAAAGTTTGGAAATTCTCCTATTGTCATCCTGAGGCCCCAGTGATCACCTTGGACATCACCCCACTTTGGGGACCACTGGGAACCCACTCCCCCTAGTTCCTCAGTTCTGGCCCCAAACATCTCTCATGGCCCTGCTGTCATGCCTGCAACCCTGCCGTGAGCATCCCAACTACAGCTCTCGGACCACCCCTCCTAAATGTCCTGTGACCCCGGGAAGGGAGGGACATTTGAACAGCCTGACTCCATGCCAGGTGTGCCAGCCACACCATCCCAGTGATCCTCCCACGACATAGTTAAGGGACTAGTCTTAGTACTCCCACCCGCATTTCACAGATGAGGAAAGTGAGGCCCAGAGACATCCAAGGCCTCCCAGCTGGTAATTTGTGGGGCCAGGATTCCAATCCAGGCCAAAGAGCCCTAGATCTGATTCTCTTCCCCTCCACCGTCCTCCCAGCATCTCCCAGCCTCCTGGCTCTGCCTGAGGCCTGCCCTCCTTCCTCACTCCCGCGTCAGTGCCCAGCATTGTCAGAGGGGCACCGTCTCCTCTTCCCTCTGACTCCCGTGTCAGTGCCCCAGCGGAGTCAGAGGGGCACCGTCTCCTCTTCCCTCAGACTCTCATGTCAGTGCCCAGCATTGTCAGAGGGGCACCGTCTCCTCTTCCCTCTGCAGTCTTCTCTCCCTCCTTGCAGCTTACGCAAGAAGCAGCAGCAGGCACCAGAAGTATTTCTACTTTTGTAAAAAACCCGTGTTTAAAGATAGGCCCACCCTTCCCCACCCTTCACCTTCTCAACAGTCCAGTAGGGGAGGAGGATGATCCTGTCCCCATTTGCCGGATGAGAACCCGGAGGCCCACAGAAGGCAGGAAGCAGCCTAAGGTCACAGTTTGAGGCGACCTCGGAGCCTGACTCAGACCCTCCCCTGGCCCCTAACCTTTGACAGAGGACCCCAGCCCCCGACCCAGGAGAAACAGAGAAGGCTCAGCTCCCAGGAGACGCGAGTAGAGGAAGGGACATTTATTGAGCACCTACTGTGTGCTCACATCTGTGCATACAGGCTTGCACCACAGTCTCCCAAAACCCTGCAAGGGAGGCCACATTTTCCCTACGTTACAGATGAGGAAATGGAGGCTCAGAGAGGAGCATCACATGCCCTGTGTCACGTGGCCTGGCTGGGATCTGAGCCCTGCGGCCTGTGCTCCCAGGGTCCAGGGCTGGGGGTTGCTCTGGGACCCAGCTCCTGGTCTCTCCAATCCTCCGCCCACCCTCCCCCATCCCTGGATACTGGGGGCTCAGGACACAGCAGCCTCCCCCACTGCCTCACTGCTGTCTCACCTGGGCCACGTCCTGGCTCCTCCCTGGCCTCAGTTTCCCCCTCCAGTCAATGAGCACAGTCACCCCATTTGTACCCAGGCCCACTGGGGTGACTGAACACAGGAGAGGCAGGGAACAGAATTCTTACACACTGGGGCATGTCACCCCCAGGCTGCCGGATCTCCCACCCCAGAGTGCACGCTGCTCATCAGAAGGCCCTCACGGCTCCACCCGTCCTCCACCAAGAGCCATCTATAGTCCCCAGAAAGTACCTTCTCACCTACAGCATATGCTGGGGAAACCCAGGGACCTCAAGAGTCCAGATTTCCCAGGCCCCCTGGCCCTTGCCTTCCCCTCTTCTCCCTGGTTTCTACCTGGACGCAGCGCCGCCCCTCCCTGAGCTCTGAGGGCCTGGCTGGGCTGGGTCGGGCACGGGGCTTCTCCCCACTACACGCCCAGGCAGACAGCATTCACCCACCACTGCCCCTCCATTACAGCAGCTTCTCCCACTCTGTTCTCCATCCTACACTGGTGAGATCATGCGGTGAAGAGCCGGGGAGCTGGAGTCAGGTGGTCCTGGCCCCACTCAAGCTCTGTGCCCTTGAGCAAGCCACTAACCTCTCTGAGCCTCGGTCTCCTTGTCTGGGAAGTGAGGATAATGGTGGGACCCACCTCGCAGGGCCGCTGTCAGGTCAAGTGGCATCTAGCATGGAGCCAGGCAAACAGCAGGGGCTCCATATGTGAGCACCCTTGGCAGTGCGCATTAATCTGTGTGGGTGTTCATTCGCTCCCCAAATTGTTCATCCAGTAAACACTCTCTGGGCACATACCACCTCCAGGCCTGTCTGGATAAGCCACTGCTCCTCGCCTGCAGGTGTCACAGTCCCCAGGGAAACCCGATGGGTGATCAGTGTGTTCAGAGCCATGGCAGGGGACATGCAGGATGCTTAGAGTAATCACTGCTGTCTGGAAGTCTCAGGGAGGGCTTCACAAAGAGGAAAAGCTTGAGTGCAGCTTTGAAGGATAAGTAGGAGTTTTCCAACAGAGAAAAGCATTCC